AGACCCCCTACTTGCTTGGATCTGGCCAGTAGTGGGACCGTTGTGTGTTGTCCTTCTGACAAACCACTTAGGTGTCCAGAGCATGGTGACCCCTGAATAAGTGGGATCATAAGAGAGCACTTTACCAGTTGCCTTCTGGGCCTAAGGAGAAACATGTGTGTTTTGTTTACCTTTCCAGTTTCATTGCCATGTAACTGATGTGCAGGACCCTGCACATAGTTGGCGCATACAATTTGGGCATGTGCACACGCTGGTGTTCCCATCACCACCCTCCAACATTGTTCCCATGCCTGGGTTCCTGGTGAAGTTGTTTCTTCCTGTTGCTTACATCTACCCCTATCTGAGTTACCTTCAGTGAGTCCATAACTGTCCTGGGAGGCAACCTGAGCTCTCCTTGGGTGAGGCATTGGGTATGCTCTGGTCCAGCCCACCTGCTCTATCGTCACTCTGTCTTCCCCTGTCTGAAGTGCTCTCTAAATCCTTCCTTTCCTCAACTTCTCCATCCTGTGTGGAGGTTGCCCTGTTATGGTGATCCACATGCCCTGCTTCTGAAAAACCAAAGTGCTTCTTTGGGTCCTGCCTGTTTGCCTATAGAAGAGTGAGAATCTTTGGTGTCATGAGCTAGTTACAGGCTTTGATAGAGTTTCTACTTTTCTTATGTGTATGTGTGTGCATGTCTGAGTTCAGTTTTAAGTTCCCAGGGGAAGAAGTCACCATCTTCTGACGGCATCTGGAGTGTACGTAAGTACCACTGAGACTCGCTGTTAAGACCAGTGGTTAGCTGGAGCATCTATGCCAAGTGTTATAGCATGCACTTAGTGTGTCCACCTTCAAGTTTACACAGGGATCCAGAGGGCCTCCCAGTTTTGTAAGAATTCCAAGTATCAGTATTTAAAGTTGAGGTGTTTCACATAAAACCTGTAGAGATCTGACTGCTCTCAAAGAAAAATATGGTAGCTGATACACCCAGATAGGAGAAAGTTTGAAGAGCAGCCTTAATAGAGAGGGGAGGGAGCTAGATTGGAGTAGGAATGAAGAGTGGAATTGAGGGTGTTAGGTGCAGGACAGGCTGGACTGCAGGGCCTGCAGGGCATGCCAAACAAAGTTAGCTACAGGATGACCTGGCCTCTCAAACCCTCTTTCTAGTTCTATATCACCTGTTTGCTTCAAGCCCAAATGCCCAACCCCCCACTCAAGGCTAAACACTCAACCCCCCCACTCAGGGTTGAACACTTAACCCCC